GATACATGGGAATATCCTCAGCTGAAGATGACTCATTTGCTAGGGAACTTCCTTTCCACAAAGCTTCTGGTTACAATATGCCACTCTCCTGTTGAAATGGAGTTTCTTCTCAGCAGGAATAAAGGTTACAAGGGTAAGATGCTAGGGTAAGGATGCTAATCTAAGGATGCTCAATGTTCTGGTCCCACTTGAGCTCTGAGGCTATATGTAAACACTGAAATGAGGGGGCTAAAGTCTGAGGAGGACTGGAGTGAATAAAACCATGAGCAATAATYACAGAATGAAAAGGAAACATCAAGCTCAGTCCAGCTTAGGAAAGCACTTCACAAAGGTAAAAGCACGAGGAATATGCCATATCCCTTTCTATAGTATTGTTCTAATTTTAAACAATCTATTGCATTGTTCTGCTGATAGCCATGTATGAGGCACCAAGGGTTCAGCCAGCTCAGCTGCATGATCAGTGCAGAGACAGTGCTACCACACACACAGGGTTATTTGCATTAGTGAATACCATACGCAAGTAACTCATCTGCCAGATGGCATGGGAAGAAAGCTGCAACTCTCACTTTCATTTCCACAGCAGCAAACAATGTTCCATGTTTAAAATAAACTCTTCCAGACGAGTAAAAGATAAACTCCATGGGGTTTTTTCTTTGCTTTTCTGACTTCAACTTAAAAAAAAAAAAAAATCATTATATTAATGAAAAATTTCAGTTTAGACCACCATAGTATAAAGCTGTCCCTCTAGGCAGCATCAAAATTCCATGCTATTTACTGAACAAAAGGCGAATATGAAATACAATATTTTCATTCATCTACTTCTGTCAACAGAACCCTTAAAAATGAACACCTAGTRCATTAAGCCATTTCCTTTCATTTATGGGTTTTCCACAGTGAATGACTGTGTTGCTTTGTTGAAAAAAAAGGCTGTTTTTTGCCTTCAGATATCAGGTATCAAAAAATAAACAGAAAAATCCATAAAAAAAACCTTTCTAATTGTTGTTTTTGACTTGTCAGACTGCTTCCATTGAATTTGTGAGYGGAAGATAGCATACATCTTTTATTCTGCTTTACTGTTTGGGGACTCCAGTCTTGGGTCTCCTGAGATACAATTAGTTATTAGTTAGATTAATTAGATTAATGTCATCTAGCTAGTAGATAAAAAATGAACTCATATTTCTGAAAGTCTCTACTTAGAGCAAAATATGATGAACAAATGCCTCCATAAAGCAGGCTTACAGTTTTTTTCAGTGTCCATGCAGATGAACCTTATATGCCTCAGAGTTTACCCATGGGTAAATTCACAGTGCTGCACAGACTGGCCTTTAGGACAGGCTGATGGCTAAAATTCCTATCTATTCTGCTAGAAAAGATGTTCCTATCCATGAAACAGAACACAGCATGATACAAACCTACTTATTGCAGTATTTCTGGGTTCTGGGCCTTCAGGTACATCACTTCCCTTTCTGCAGATCTGTTCATGAAACCCTCCTTGCAAACAGGATCTAGAAAGAGTTTGCTTGTCTCAAGGACAGATGGGATTTGGAGAATAGATGGTCATGCTCTGACTCCAGAGGGGTCAGGATGGTGGCCTGCTGTTGAGGAAGGTTGCAACAGTATTGATACAAACAGAAATACCATCACGTCACCAAATTGCAGTCCAGGTGGCAAACTGTATGGCATCCTAGGACCTTCAGAGATTGAATGACATTTTAGGAAGAACATGCCAGAATGTTTAATATTAACATAAAGAGAACTATAATTTGTAAAATCTTTCTCTTTTTCTCTCTCTCAAAAAAGTGCACACATCTGCATTTATCAAGTTTAAAATAAGTCACCATCCAACTAATTCTCGATCCTAAGGGTGGGAGACCAAGAGGGGCAGAAACATTTAGGGGCCTGATTCTCATTACTTTTGATAAAACCAAGATTTCAGATTCCTTTCTTTGGCCATGACGGCAAACAAATACCTGTTTCTTCCCTCTCCATCTTAATTACATTTTTTTTTTTTTTTTACTGAAAAGATGTGATCATTCTTAAATTAAATAAATAAATAAAGTTAGTTAATGTAATTAGGAGTTAGTGTGCCAGCCTTCCCAAAAATAATTGATTAGGAAATCATTCCTTTCCCTATGTTACATAGGACATTTGGAATMAATTAAATATTCAATTCTAATTTTATCAGATTAGTAACCAGGTGCAACAGGCTGCTAATGGTAGCTGAAGTGGTGGGTAAAGAGTATAGATTGTGGCAGACATATTCTGTTATGAGAAATAGTTTTACCATTCTGAGAGAAATCAAAAGGAAATAACTCAGCTGTGTAGGTCTTCTGGATCTTTTTGCATGTCTATCACCTTCTGCATGATTAGTTTGGAAAAACGTTATRCGAAAAAGGGAACAGGCCTTCTATTTTAAAATTATTTGTATGATTTTTGCAAGTTATTTATTTTCTTTATGGCATTAAGTGGAAAAAAATCAAGTGTGCTTGAAGTGGGAATTATCCACATTCTTTTTTAACAGAAATATAGTCAAGCCACACATTTGTGAGGCCCTGGCTTTGAACCCAGTGAAGCATTCATAGAGCTTAGGCAAACCAGGCAACCACTGAAGAAAGAGGGGACAGTTTAAATGCTTCTGTTTTTATTGCATCATGGAAAAAAAATGWTCATTTATCTCATTAAGACGGAGAATTTTTACTGCAGGACTCATRCTGGGTTTATAAGCTTGTCTGCTGTTTTGCCTGTAGCAACTGAAAGAGCAGTGTTGTCCCTTTACCTAGTGATAGATGTTGGGTTTTGTGGTAAGGTAAGGAAGGTAAATTGGTGACAGACTCAGACTATTTTTTTAAACGTATGTAAGCTTCTCTTTACTTAAACAGATGTGGCATATAAAATAAATACATGCAACTGCAATTTAGTTCACTGGCAGAAACCTCAGCTATAATAGCACCATGTGTGCAGACAGGACTGGCTTGTACTTATGGTTTGGGACTGAGAATTAAAAAAGTGAAGAAAGAATTTCTTAAACTCTAACCATGGTCTAACTATGAGGCAAGTTGCTTACGGGGATGCTTTCAAAGGCACCACAACCAAAGATCAGTAAATTATTCTGAGCACTTTTGAAACATTCCCCTTAACACACTTTGTTTCTTCATCTGCTAGACACAAATGCTTCCTTCCTTCAGCTGCGCCTGCATGGTTTCTGACTGCAAGCAGACAGCGAATATCTCTCTCTGGATGCAACTTTAAGCAATTGAGCTCCGCACTGAGATCAAGCTCAACAGATCTGCCCCTATGTCTCATGTCATGTCAAGTCAATCTGGGCAGCAGGTGACACTCTCAGGCTAACAATTAACTCTCACTCTCCCTCCAACTCCCCAGTAAATTTCTGACAGCTCTTCCTGTTGGTCTTTTACATAAAGGATTAAATTGCACCTGCACAAATGTCTGCATACACACACACACAGGTTTTAAAATAACCCTTTTAGAATACAGTTATGCTACAGCGTTGCTGCCAAAGGTAAATTTGATCAATGTGAAAGAGGGCCACACAGAAGTGCTTCAGTTCACTGCCTAGACTGGCCTAAGGCTCCACTGGGAGCCTGACCCTCCAAGTCTCAGCTATGGAAGTGTAGAAGGTGAAGAAGGTACGTTCTGGCTTTTGGAAGAGTTACCTCTGAACATATATGTTAACCACAGATCTCAAAATCATCTTAATGTAGCCAGGGCTTCACTGCTTACCTATAATCTAGTTGTTGCAATGCGATAGAACCCTCTGCTGAACTGTGAAAGATGCTGCTCTGCCTCTCCCCGAACTTTATACACTCTCCCTGGTTAAGGTCCAACTTTCACTCCTTTTTCAGCTTACAATCTTCATTCTTAATTGAAAACCAGTTTACTCAAAGATGGTGGTGCTCATATGGCAGCAATAGTAGAGGGAGGTATCTGGAATGTGACTGTTCTGGCTTAACTACATCAATAGCCCTGGATTAAATARGTTACAGAACAGTAACACAGAGAGCTTGCCATAGCTTTTTGGAAGCATTGCAATACTGTATTGAAATAGCTCTCTATCTCTCTATCTCAGTACTGAGACCAAGCCCAACAGATTTGGATGAAGATGTGAAATGTAACAATACAGGCCCAAGCGTAGAATCTTCTCGAAAGACATCATTAGCCTCCCGTTACATAAAAGAGAGACTGTTTGCTCAACACTGAGACTATGAGAYAACTCTTGCCTCTCTAGCCCTCACCTTATAGTGAGCAGTAGAGCTGACGTGCTTAAAGGTCTGCAAAGCTTCCTATTCTGCCTTGTGATTTTCCACAGTGAAAGCAGGATTTTCCTCCGACACCCGTCATTCACCAGAGCACAGCCTTGATAGTGAAGGGGAAGGATAGACGATTACTGCACCACTGTGCTGAAGTTAAAACATGATGAGTCTGCCTGAACAAGCAGAGGAAAACGTCTCAGAAACAGGAGTTTGGAACTAGTAGCTATAAGTAGATGATACGAATCTATAGCCTACATCATTTATTAATATCACTTGAGTAATTTGTGTTTTCATTAGATTAGCCTTGAACGTTTTGTTCCCTAAATTAACTATCAGAATGTTTTATTAACTCAGAGTAAAGCAAGAGGTCATRAACGTTCATAGCAACCCCTTAATTCCATGAAATCAAAAAGAATATATCACAGWTCTATGTAATACTCATGTATTTATTTGGGCCCATTTTAATCCTGCTAATTCAACACAGCACAGGCATGCTAAACTAGCAGAGGTCAACTTTTTCAGTTGTGAAACAATGCTACTGCATCAGGAGTGCTGTTTTCCAAATTGTATTTTCCCCGGTGAAAGAATGAATACTGTTCTTTTTAAATATATATATTTATTTTTATTAAAGAGTATCATTAAGTTTTATTAGACAGACAGACTTATCTCATTATTGAGTTAAAGTGCCATCAGTAAAATCAAACACATCTTGAAAAGCATASTGGCTTTTCTAGTCTAGTCTAGTTAGGGTTGAGATCTTTTTGCAAGCTCTGCATGAACACAACTCAACCTACGAAGTGCTGCCAAGAGCGTAATACATCAGTCAGATGAGTTTTCGGTGCAACTGAAGGTGTCTGTGCATAACAATAGCATGTTTGGCACACAWGAAAAACAAGCAAACAAACAAAAAAGAAAATACAGCTTGTACAAAATGTAGTCAAGAGGCTAACTTGTGCTTCACAACTGAGCTACATACAGCTCAAGAGTTCTTGTTCATTGAACTATATCACTGATGAGAAACCTTTCATTGGTACTCTGGCCTCAAGGATTACAGTGTAAGACACCAGTAAAACTGTTTATTTCTCATCGTGATGGCTCAAAAGGACAACAGTCCTGTTATTAATATAAGGATAAAATTTTGTAGTCTTTTTACAGAAGTGTTTTATTTACCATCAATGCCAATGTCCAACCCAACTACAAGCAGCAGGACATGACAAATAAGCATATACATTCAGAACACAGTTGTGTTTAATTTTTATTTGTAAAACATGAGTTTCCAAAGATTTAATCAGAAGTCATACTCACATCCTCAACTATGAGATCCTTTTTAATGCTTGTCTATTAAATACTGATTACTATATATTTCCAAACTGAGCTCCAGCATGAATCACTCCTCCAACATTCAGGAGCAAAGTAATATATATTCCCACACCATTTAAGTAGAGGATTACAGTGTTGCAAAAATATATTATCTGCATTTTTTTTTTAGCAGATAGTCTCTGGCACTTATTTCAACAGTCCAACCATCACTTCACTGATATCCCATAACTTCCTTGCCACCAAGTCATCCATGGCTTTGGGCAGGAGTTCCTCCTCTTTGCAGTCCCCAAAATATTTCCCCGAGACACCTTCCACATCAGGAGAAGATGCCAAATAAATAGAAGTCTGGGCCCCTTCCAGAGGTGTTTTGAAGAAAGCCCACGACACCAAATTGAACAGGGGTTTTGCCAGCAAAGGAATATTCACGTGTCTGCCTAGGTTTGTTCTGACAATCCCAGGATGAAGCGAATTGACAGTGACTCCTGTCCCTTCTAATCGACGGGCTAGCTCCCTTGCAAACAATATGTTGGCCAGTTTACTCCGACTGTAACAAAAGCTTTTATTGTAACTTATCTCACTGTTCAAGTCTTCAAAGTTGATCTCGCCATATTTGTAAAGCTTTGAGGATACTACCACGATCCTGCTTGGAGCAGAATTTTTGAGGAGGCCCAGAAGAAGATTGGTGAGCAGGAAGTGACCCAAGTGGTTTACACCAAACTGCATCTCAAAACCATCCTCTGTCTTCATGTATGGACACTGGAATATCCCTGCATTATTAATCAGAACATCCAGCCTTGGCTCTTCCTTTAAATAGGAAAGAAAAAAAAATCATTCAGTTTTATAATGTGCCATACAAAACATATCATTATGCTTAATTGTCTCATTTATCAATGTTAGAAAGAAATAATTTTACTTGTAGTCATCTGAACTGCAATTTTCTAATATTCTTGTAATGCACTATTAAAAATAAAATAAAATAAAATAAAATAAAATAAAATAAAATAAAATAAAATAAAATAAAATAAAATAAAATAAAATAAAATAAAATAACATAACATATATCTCTGGTACTTTTAATATGGACAGAAAAAAATCAACTGTTCTCCAAGAACAACTTTGTGATGCATTTTGTTTTCCTTTGTAAAGTAATATGCTTATATTGCAAAAGCTGGTGCATTTATGCTTTATCATAATTTGAATTACGATAAAACCTTCACTCTGGGCATGGGCTYCACCATACAAATATTGGCCAATTAAAGAAAACAAATATTATCCCAAAGAATGACCATCACTGTTGGGGAGAATCTCAAAATGAGGAGAGAATGGTTTTGAGCTTGGTTTCCTATGACTGCGTCTCACAGTTTGATTAGCTAGAAATGATGAGAACCCCAACTCTGGTGTCAAAAATACAGCTGAAATCATCCTGCAGCATTTCTATCAACAGAATTGATCAGATGCCTCCATCCCGCTTAACTTCAAATTCTCAGGAAACTTGCAAAAACTTGATGTATGTGAATAGTTCTATCTGCTAAATTCAGCTGCCAGTGGCCAACAGCTTGAGGATTTGTGTGGAGGATGCGGGGCTGCTACAGCAGTGAGCAGCACATCCACGTGAGCCTTTACTCCTCCGGAGACAGAGCTGGGCTGTCACACCCATTCAAAGCAATAACACTGATTTTAAACAAAATACAGAAAATGGAGGAAAGGCAAAACAATTCTCTCCTATAAATGCATATATGTATATATAAAATAAACCACAAGCTTTTCCTTCTCAGCCCTAGGGCAGCCCAAACCCATAGTAGCRTACGTCACGCCTCATGACACTACTTCAAACCACGGTTAATGCACGGGCATCCTCCCTTCACGTCGCGCACAACTCGTCAAAACCCTAATGCCACCCAATGCCAGCAAGGGCAGCAAGTCTGGGCAAAGGCAGAATCGCACGGATAATAAAACCACAACGCTTGATACCACAGGGGCAGACCCAACGCATGAAGCAGCGCAGGCCCCCGCTTCCCTGCACATGTACACACTTACATAAGCTATAAACATACATGTATGTTTCAATGTGCAGCTCATAGGCACTAAGAGCGGCGGGCAGGGGCCGCCCGCGCGGCCGTTGCGGCCGTTGGCGCGGCCGTTGGCGCGGCGCGGGCCGTACCTGCAGGACGCGGTGGCAGAAGGCGCGCACGGAGCGCAGCGAGGCGAGGTCGAGCTCGCGCACGAGCAGCTCCCCGCCGCCCTCGCCCGCCGCCGGCTCTCCCACCTCGGCGCGGATCTCGCGCGCCGCCCGCTCCGCCCGCGCGCGGTCGCGGCAGCCCATGATGACGCGCGCGCGCATCCGCAGCAGCTCGGCCGCCGCCGCGCGGCCCAGCCCGCTGTTGGCGCCCGTGATGATCACCGTCTTGCCCCGCATGGAGGCGGCGCTGGCGGCGGCTCCGGCCGCGCTGCCCCGCGCCGCGCGCAGCCAGCGCCAGGCGGCGAGAAGGAGCCCCCCACCCAACGCCGCCGCCGCCGCCACGGCGGCAGCCATCTCCCTGCGCGCGCCCCGGGCGCGCTCCCGCCGCGCCGCGCTGCCATTGGCCGGCCGCCGCGCAGRGCATGCTGGGGCTTGTAGTCCGCGGCGCGGAGCTCCGCGCCCGGCGCGTTGGCCACGAGCCTGTCCTGGGTCGAAATCTAGAGTGTTTGGGGAAACTCGGTGCGAATACCGAGGGGAAACCTTTCCTCCACTTCCCCGCGGCTGCCATGAGCGCGATAACCGTGTGCAGGAGTAACCTGCTCCCAACTGGCATGTGCTGATGCCACGCACGGTGCCGCCGCCTGCGCTCAGGGCATGTCGCCGCCCGGTACAGCCCAAGGGGTCACAGACCCTTCTGGAAGGCTCTCGCCGTCCTTCCCGTCTGTCACACTTGCCAGGCGGCAGGCACAGGCCGCCTCGGTACCTTCGAGCCGCTCGGGGTTCTCTGGGGACCCGTGTCCTTGCCGAGGCCGCGGCAGGCCGGGCAGGCGCTGCCCGTGCCCGCTGGCTCCGCCGGGGTTATCGCGGCTCTCTGCGCTGGGCGCACCGCGGCGGAGCCCGCTGCTGGCAGCCCCCAGAAGCTGCCCCGGCGCTGCCAGGCCTCGGCATTCCCCTTCTATTGCTCCCGGACACTGCCCAGCAAGGCAACAGAAAACTTCTTTTCCTCCTGAGAGATCAACCTGCTTCTCCACTTTCTGTCCTTAGCTCTTACATTATAGGAAATAAGTGGATATGTTCTTACTAGCAATGCTGCGTGTCAGTGCAGGTTATAGATTCTGGCAGAGGAACTCAGATGGGAATATTCGTGATAGCTCCTGAGGATGTAGGAACCCTTTAATTCCTGAGGCTTGGGAACATACCACAGTCCAGGAGGGACACATATTGGAACATGCATCTGAAATATTTTGTTTCTTCCAGGTTGTTATTTTGTTATTTGGGACAAGGTGGCCTGGTGACTGAAAGGATGACCTGGAGGGTGAAGTATTGATGAAGATGTGATGACTGCATCTTGTCAGCTTGTGAGAAGTACCCAAAAAAGTCTAGGAATGTGTTCTCTTGTAAATAAAAAAATAGTCAAGTTATTTTCAGGGTCTTATTTCCAACATTTTGTTCCATGGGTGTTGTGGGGATTAGTACCAGTAGGAGAAATTCCCATTTGTCTTACCTCCTGACAATGTTTCCTTAGCAGCTACATTCATGCACCACAAGGATTAATTTTTTTTTTTTTTTTTTTTTGGTTGATGAAGGTCCATCTCAGCACAGAAGAGATCTTAATTATCATGATTACTCTTCCTGGTTTGAGATGCCAGTATCTTTTTCCATTAGTCTGTCTGCCAGTGTTACATTCACAGAATCACAGAATCACAGAWTCACAGAATATTYAAGGTTGGAAGGGACCTCTASAGAYCATCTAGTCCAACCTTCCTGCTCAAGCAGGCAYACCTACMGCATGTGGCACAGGGTGGCATCCAGGYGGGTTTTGAAGACCTCCAGAGTAGGAGACTCCACAACCTCCCTGGGCAGCCTGTTCCACTGCTCTGTCACCCTCACAGTAAAGAATTTCCTCCTCACATGGAGATGGAACTTCCTGTGTTTCAGCTTATGCCCATTACCCCTTGTCCTATCGCTGGCCACCAATGAGAAGAGCTTGTCCACTTCCTCCCTGCATTCTCCCTTCATGAACTTAACATGTCAATCATATCCCCTCTGAGCCTTCTCTTCTCCAGAGAAAACAGGCCCAGCTCACTCAGCCTCTCTTCATACGAGAGATGTTCCATTCCCTTAATCATCCTGGTTGCCCTTCTCTGGACCCTCTCSAGAAGCTCCACRTCCCTCTTACACTGGGGAGCCCAGAACTGCACATAGTACTCCAGGTGCGAGTATTCAGGCAAGACAGTCTGAAACAATCCTCCTTTTTTATATTCCCTCATTAAAAAATGTTATCTGTTGCTGTCACTATGGCTGGCAAAGGTATTTTGTCTGGCTTGGAATACTATTAAGATTATGCTTAGGGGATGGGATAGGTTTATGAGGCTTTTTTTTTTTTTTTTTCCTCTTCTTGTTTGTTTCTCTACAAAAGTAGAGAAGTGGGTTGTCTCCTTCAAGTCTTTTTCCTCAGTTCCTACTTCATTCCCATTCTATTCTAGAGAATTTTCTTGAACATAGTGGGATGTGCTAGTGGGTCCACTAGCCTAGCTGTTCCCTGGGCTAAGAGATGATGATTACACTGGGCAGGGAGTACTCGGCAGGCCTGCATCTCCCCACACATCCAAATTGGACTTGGAGGACACTTGAAGGAGAAGATCCTTTTCCTGCTATCCCTTTTTGGTATCAAACCTGAGTTATTAAGTTCAATGTTCAGTAAACATGGAGACATATGTCAGCAACGTGTGCATGGCCTCCATTCTTTATCTTTCTCCACTCAGCTGTCACATCTGTAGCTCTTACAATGGATGAATGAAGAATGACTGGTCGTGTTCTGCCTCTGCAAGACAAGACCCTCGCTCCTTGACCCTGCGACCATGCTTCTGTCCATACATGCAATTTGTATTCCACAGTAAAGGAGTGGTTTTAGATTCCTTGCTGATTCTGAGTTTTCACATAAAAACATCTGCTAATAACATTTTTTTGGTAATCTCCATTTGGCAAGGTAACCCTATCCCATCCTGGCAGTCAGTCACCAGAACTCAGTTAGTCATGTCTTCCTCACCTCCTGGCTGAGCTATAGAAATGTGATATATTTGGGCAGAAAGCCTTTAGCACTTAGGACATTCCAAGTATACTAAAACTCTGCAGTGTATCCCATCAACAACACATGCTGGTGTGAACACTTAAAACCTTTCTCATGTTCTCTATTCAAGTTTCATACAGGATTGAGGCTTTCACCTTTTTTTTTTTTTTTTTTAGAGAATTTTGTGGCTTGGACTCAGATCATTTAAAATATTGCCAGTGCTTTTGGGATGGAAATCCAATTAATGCAATGAAGCTTTCTACAAAAACAGGACAATTCATCTGGACAGAAGGACCAAACATTTTCAGGAGATAGCTTGAGATTCAGGGGTGAACTCGTGGAGGAACCACAGATTATCACAAAAGCTCACCATCTTCTACATCCAGAGAAAAGCATCTTCTTTTGGTTTTGTCTCCTCTAATATGAATGCACAGCAACAATAAACATAAAACAGGACACTTGATCTGTGAGAAAGAGAACAAGCACCACCTGGCAGATGTTGGTTGTGTCATTTGGAAGGCGCTCGCTCAGTTACTACAAGGACAGTGAAATACAAGAACCTAACATAAAAGAGGTAGAATATACTTAGAGTGTAAATGTGCATGAATTCATGTTGCAGCAGACACCTGTCCACTGTTAACTCATTTGAGGCTGCCAAACTCAGGTCATGCAGATCATAGAACAGCTTTAAATTCTTGTGATTCTACTTAAGAAATAAGTAGCTCTTTCTGCAGTATTACTTCAGCATAGATTCTCTGCTGTTACAAAACTGATAACAAATGCTTCAGTTTTTATCTCAGAATAGTGACAAGGTTTCTGCTTGTCCACTCAGCTTTATATTTACATGAAATCTGCTGGAACTTAGGTGTCTTTGAGGCYTCTGCCTCTCTGTCAGATTTGATTGAAAGTGGTCAACGTGGTTCTAAATCTCTCAAAGAGAAAGAGATCCAGATACTCATCACATGAACCTTGTTTTCACWAGAAATTAAGTTAGAGTCTCTATGTAAACAAATGACAAAGTTCTGTAAAGCCAGCTTTATTAAAATAGGAAAATAGTATAGAAAAATAAAGGGTTCCTGTAAACACAAAATCAAGCTAACATTTCACTGGAAAGACAACTGCCAGCAGGAGYTGAAACCTGATGATACCAAAACTACTGAACACACTTAACAACAACAAAAAAAGACACACTTAACATATACAGGTAAACTGCACTTTTCATAGTTTCAGAAGAAAATCTTGCAGGAGTTATCTGTGCAACATGATTTTTTTCCTAATAAATAACCTGTTAACAATTTTTAGAGAAAATATAACAATTCTTTCTGAAAATATGTTTTAACCTATAAAAAAACAGTCCAAGTTTTTTCCTACTATTGAAAACACAGTGTTAGTTCCAAATAGGTAAAAATAAAACAGAACAAAACTCTAAACTGCTTAAGAATACTATTAAAATAACTCTGTTAAAAACTTACCTATATGAAAAAATATTTCCTTTAAAGGTTGTTCTAGCCAGAAGTAGATTCTTAACACAGTGCTTGTAATATATAAATACAGATTTTTTTCGGACAYAACTATTGGTATATTAGAGGCTGGCTTTAATGGCGCCATCCAATTATGTGGATTTTTGATATTTCTGATCAATGCCGTAGGGAACATGTGCAGCTATGGTGCCTAGTTTCTGTGCTCCTTCGATGTGAAACATCTGGTCATCAAAGAAAATGTGAGGACGGATTTTCACCAAGATTGGTCCTTTAGGAGCTCCCGCTAGGAAAAGTGCCTCATCGATCTCTAGACCCCAGCTACGAAGAGTCTTCAGTACTCGGGCTCCAGAACTTGCTGCACTTCTGGCTGTGACCAGGAAGGTCCTTATAGGACAAGATAATCGTTCATTTTTTGCATAAAACTTCTTCTGGAGTTTTCCTAGATCTTCTAGAAAACCTTTCAGAGGACCCTGCATATGAAATACCAGAAGTATATTAACARAAACATATTTGTCCACAGCTTACAAAATCATCCATGCATTTTCTTCCAGATTGCCTGTTATACACARAATTTCTCCCCTAATGCTATGCTGTGCAATGGCCTACACATGTAGTATTTCTAAAAGGGTTTGCATCCTCACTAAAAATTCACACAAATTGTGGGAGGGAAAAAAAAAGTTAAAGCTATTGGCCAATTTGTACTATCTATAGGAAATTGATTCTGACTAAGGCCGAGATCAAAAAAAAAAAAAAAAAAAAAAAAGAAGGAAATAAACAGGGCCATGAAATGATACTTCAAATTA